AACATTTTCCCGCCAAAAAATTTAGTGCTCGTGCATAATAACTTAGCATAGCCGGAGACTGAATTTTGTACTTGGACGGGGAACACTTCGATAAAATTTCAGCGTCCTAGTTTTTCTGGTTCCCGAGTTAAAAATTTTCTCATCAAAAATTTCATGAATTTGTACGCGCGGATTAGGCATACGTAAAGATTGGTACCGGACAGTTCTAGGGCGGCGCCTGACCAGAGAACCTGCTGGCAAACTTCCAGCCTTGGAGTTTGCTTGGTTGTCGAGTTTAAATATCCGGACAGACAGACCTACATAACTGGAGAACGATGCAGTGCACTACAAATGACCAAAAAATTAGGGTATTTTCCAAAAAAAAGCTTGTAGCTTAGAAATCCGGACTGGGGAAATCCGGATTAAAAGCTGACCAATAGGCAACTCCATTCGTTTCACCACAAAAACCTGCAATTGACGAAATGGCAACAATTTGTCCCTCATTGCGTTGCTCCATCGGACGCAAGAATGCTCGAATCGTCTAAAAAACTGATAATTTCGAAACTAACAAAAAAAATAATATCGAAATTTTTAACCGATTTGTAGTTGTTGAAGAATGAAAATATGGGATGGGATGGATTAAGATCAGGGATAACTAATCCAAACACCACATGCATCGATAGGCATATTGGAGAGCAGACTGCGTTTCATCCCTCAGCTGTAAACACTGACAGTGCGGAGCGTGCAGGCGGAATGAAGCTGAAGTGTTAGAAAAAACAGGAAAGGCTGGTGAGAGAAAAAGAAATCATCGTTGGCTAAAAATCATGTTTCCAGCAGTGCAGCTTCACAGTGTTCACACTTCCTGAGCTGAAGCACCACGAAAGACAGGACCACATAGGAACAGACAAAATCCCGCCACAATTTGTTTTCGCGTAATTTAAATATGCAGAAATATATAAAAATTGCAGTCTAGAAAAAGATTCCCGCGAGCTACCTAGAAATATTCCGTTCTTCTCGACCAGTATTTACAAACACAATTGATCATGAAGAATGCCAGGGATAAAGATGCAAAGCTTTTGCAAGTAAGGTTATAGATGTTCATTTAAATTTGCTCAGTTACGTCGAATGAATTAACATACATTGATGGTACCAATAACATTGACGTTGACCGATTTCTGAATCTGTGATGTTGTCAGATCGAGGATACGCCCGAAATAGAGAACCGCTGCATTGCAGATAACAATGTCAACAAACCCTGAAAAACTTGATAATTTTATTTAATTTGATGTCCCGATCAGCTACAGTTCAAAGCAATTCTCGGCCAGCTAAAGTTCTCCAGCTACACAGTCGGACACTTTTTCCAGATGTTTCAATTAATACAGCATTGTCTCGTGGTTACTGTACTAGAAATTCTATGTTCTTCCCATTTTCTTGAGGGAAGAGCAACTCAGCGTTTCTCCTGACAGAAAAACTAGACAAGGTTTTAGCCGTTCGAAGATGTTACTGGCATTCAAAGAGATGCTGTTTCTAAAACGTCAAAATTCGCCGATATTCTTCAAATTAAAAATTTTGTTGTTTGCAAATAGCTATACTTTTGCACCCTTGTTCGCTGAGCTGTTACTGAAAAAGCCAAGTTCCACAGAAGCATGCATAATCCCGTAAGCTACCGTTATGCGCTACTACTTCAATGCGTTATTTCTTAGACGGAGGCGGACATGGCGCAGTAGCAAGTATCATTACTGTTTTGTAGAGGATCAAGTGTTCGACCCCACTACTTGGACCACTTTCTCTCTATGATTTGCTTATTCATTTCGATGGTAAATTGGTAATGGCGCATGTCAGGGAGTCAAATCCGTCATGAGCTTGCTTCTAAGCAATCCTCGAAAGGAGCCATCAAAAGCTTTGCCAGCGAATAGCTCCCGTTGATACATGCTGCTTCTCAGGCTTTTACTGAGCGTTTTTATCTTTTATTAAAAATAAATTACGAAAGAGACTTTAACTTTTGATTAACACATTGCCAGCGAACTATAAAGTGTATTTCTACTAGCGATTTTAAAAAAAAAGTATATAAATGAGGTCAACAACACAAAACAAACAATGGGACTTGAATAGGGAAAGAAATTAGGGGAATCCACTGCGATGAAAATTTTGAATTTCTTATTCAAAAAACGATTTAATCTTTTCTTAAAAAAAAGAAAAAACTAAATGACAACTTATATTAAGAGTACAATTCAATGGATTTTGGAGAGACAAAACATGCACGGAGCGGACACGGAAGACAACAGTTGATGACAAAGAGACAAGAAAGAGTCTGAAATGATGAGCGATTTCCGACAGACTAATGAGGGGACGCACTTCTCAGATATCGGTGATTTCGTATCAGTTTTCTTCACTGACGCATTTCGCACTTTTGAAGAAACAACCGGTGCGCGAGAAATGCAATTTCGGAAACATCAAGGAAAAAATATGACTGCATGTAAATGACAGAGATAAATTTTTATTAAATACTTCAATAAGCTCGTGTTACTTTGAGAAGAAAATCAGCGAAAGCTTTACCAACGAGTGGTTGCAATTGGTGTTTTGTTGCGTCAAGATAATTCCAACTGGCTGGGTTTTTCATAGACAGTAAGAGAAGGAAAATACGGATGGGATTTAACTTTGACTTTGAACAGCTCCGTTTCATGGTGTGCCTGTTCAGCTATGCAGCTGTCAACTTTTTCAATTCCTTTAACCAGGATTTCTTCAGCTTAATGGCGAACCTGGCATTTCGTTTCCCCTCTGAGGAGCTTTTTCAAAATGCTGCTAAAGATATCCCCTTTTTCCATCAAACACTTTATCACGGAAAAGACGCTTTGTTAAGAATGTGCACAGTTTACGAGAAGAGTAGTTTTTGTTCGGAAAATAGAAGATATGGGATGAAAATGATGATGGTCATCGTGCGCGATGTTTCGAAAAATAGTACGGAAGTACATCGTATAAAGTCTTAATCGAAGAAAGATTAAAATATTTTGAAATAAGACCCAAATAGCTTGCATGTGTATTTTAAGGAATGCTGTGCTTGAACACTGACCAACGAACCAAAGTTCAAATTCGTAAAAAATAAACAGTACAAATGAGCACGAATATTATGAAAGAATTTTTGTTTCGAATTTCATAACGTCCACTTTGTTACAAAAAATATATAGTAAACGATGTTAAGGTGCCCACCGTCGGAATAATCATTCAGCAGACTCAAACTTCACATTCTACCATATGGTATATTACCAAATTGTTTGCTTACTTTGGTACTTTAATCAATATAAGTATGATATTTTATCCAAGTGTTGTTTCGTCGTCGCGTTTCTTTTCGTCACTGATTGGCAACTTCCCCACTCATCTCAGATGTAGTCCTTCGTACATGCAAAGTAAGCGCTACATGTATTCGAGCTTTATAAACTTTTACTCCATGTTACGCTGTAGTTTATTTCCCGCGATTGATTATAAATCCTCGCAAAGACAGTTAATATATGACATAATTTAGGGAAGTGCATAATATATAAGAAAAATAGCTGATACCAACAATACAATATAGCTATTTTTGCCTAAACCGATTTAGGCAAAACACTGCCCGATGTTTAACGGCGAGCATACTATTTGTTTGGAAATTTTCCAAATAATGGCTTTAATAGGAAAAGGATTGAAAAATGCTATACCGAATGTGGCATAAATTTGTTGGGCACATTTGTCCACCTCTTCCGCGCGGCTTGTATCGCATATCCAGTATTTTGCTACACCGCCATCGCAAGTAATCCTCTTCACGGTGTTTTGAGCGCCGTGCTATAAATACGTATTTCTGCTCAATTTCACTGATACCAGCGACCGGAATAACTTCTTTTTTTGTTCTTTCGAAGGTAAGATTTGATAGTTGCTTTTGTGATTCTTCAGTTTGTGGGCCAAAAATAAAAGCCTTTTCAAC